AAATATGAGTGTTAAAATAAAATATTAAATAATCCCAATATCTATACTCAAAGAGGTAGTGATCGTGATAAGGATTTCGGATATATAAAGAATGTCGAAATCCGAGTTATAACGAAGAAGTTATGACCTATCGAAGTTTCGCGACAAAACCGGTACGACACTGCGTGACGTAAATAGTGAATTTACGATAGAGTGATATTTAGCCTTAGTGATCTAAACGAAAGTCGTACAATACGTTAAATCGAGAGCGTGCATAAAAAGAACGTCTAAATCTGACTTCGTATGAGGAAGTTATGATTTTTCTAAGTTTCGACTTAGCGGTATGCAGCCCAAAGTTCGAATATGAGATCGAGTGATTTCTAGCCGAAAAAATCTAAACGAGAATCGAAGATCTCGTCGATAGTAGTGCAACTGTAGAAAGACAGATGAAAACGGACATCAGATGAAGGAGTTATGAATTTTTAACGGAGTTTTCCTGTCCCGGCCTACTAAAAATAATATAATAAAAATAAAGTCAAAATTAGCCGACAGATTCTAAACGAAAGTTGTAGAGCATAATCTCACCTACGCGTGGATATAAAGAACGTCAAAAACGGAGCTCGTATGCGAAAGATATGAATTTCTGAAGTTCGGGGCACAAACTTCCACCATTGTCAGAGTTCACGACGTGAACAAATGATGGACGTCTTCCAGAGCCTGACAGACCCAAGTTGCGATGACGCACCTGATGACGACTGAACTCACGACGTGAACATTTGAGGTTCATGACGTGAATCAAGAAATTCGACCCTTTAGATAGAAACCGAAGGGCAGCCGACCATGGTTGCTAATTCGCTTACTCTCTCACTCTCTACACCCTCTCTAGCCCTCTTGAAGCACCCCCGAAGTCCCGGTATCATCCCGACACCCGAAGCGAGTCCCGAAGCTCCGAAGATCCCGAGAAAAAGAGTTTTCGAGCCGAAGCTCTGCCCGCGAGAAGCCCGGTTTTTGGAAGATATCCCGGTTTCATCGAAGAATACTACTTGAAGAGCCGTAGTGCTGTCCGAGCATTGTCTTATCAAGTGAGTGTGTAGTCATTTTCTTCTAACACATAGATATGAAGTATTTGATATAAAATACGTGCTATGTGTTTATATATTATTTGTTTATTTGAGATAATATTGAATGAATGTTTTATACATGTTTTTGGAACTATATATGTATTTTTATCTACAAATATGTTAGGTAGAACATAGGTAGATAGTTGATGTGTGATAAAATAAAATGTTGAGAGGCCTCGATGTTGTTGCTGATTTAGTCATCTAGCGGAGTTTAGATGACGACCACGGACTTTTCCAGTCAGTCTAGTGGAACGCTGGCAGGTTCGCCACCTGTAGTTGTTAATGAACTTGGGTGTTCATTTGCTGTACTCCATCCCCCACATGGTTGCCTTATTTGACATAAATTGCTGGGAAACCCCCAAAGCAGTGTTGTCGCCCCGAAGAAAATACTTAGGCTAGGTCCCTTGTGATAGTTGTTTTAGGGACGTAAAGTGAGGATAACGGGAATGGGTAATTGGGTTATTGTTGGTTGATGCAATTAATATAATTATTTATTGTGGGTTGAAAACCCTATATGCTCATCAGGCTCCCAAGCCTGACCCACTCAGTTTTTCTTTGTATTACAGGTAGTGGCGCGAGAGCATAAGTTGGATGACTTATCAAGATATTTTGATTATAGGCCTGTAGTTGTAAATAACTATTGTAAGGCTTATAATGTGCCGTTTATGCTTTTGGTCTGTATCGGAACATGACATCCCGAGTTTTGTTATATAATGAAAATACATTTCTTTAAGAAATGCTTTGGTAAATCTTATTTTATCATATTTTGTTTTGGGAACAAATTCCGCAACTCTTTTAATCAAAGGATTAGTCTAATTTTATTTTAAAAGCATAAATTAAATCGGTCTTTTATGGTCGTGAAATTGAGGATGTCACAGTTGGTATCAGAGCATTAGTTTAAGCGAACTAGGAATTTATAGGATTTCTAGACTTAAACTTAGGATGCTAAGTAAAGATTGTGAGATGAGTGTCCGTTGTATTTTAGACACGAGCACTAGTATATTTTAGGAAAGATGCCTAAAATGCTTTTATGTGCTAAATGTTATATGTTTGCCATATATGATGTTGTTTGTTCGGATCTACGGTTTGTTGCCAACCGGATCTGGAAACCTTATGTGTTTAGGATTCTAAGCGTAGGATTACGGTATTAGAACTAGCATGTAAACGTTTCGGAGTGATATGGAAGAGTTAAATATCTATCGCGAATGAGGGTCTAAATTCACCATATTCGGTGTATAGATCAAGAATGGCAAGAACTAGAAGTGGAGTTGGAAACGCAAACGAAAACATGAATCAACCACCTGTAATTGAGCAAGCACCCTATTGTAGCAACTGCACTGTAGCACTTGGTTCCTGGTGTGTATTTTATTTAAGTATTGTGCATTTTTGGCCTGAGACTCGGCGAGTTGAAGGCCCAACTCGTCGAGTAGAAGCGGATTGGATACGAGATTTAAATGATGGACTCGTTGAGTCGGCCTCCAGACTCGACGAGTAGACTCTGACTGGACAAAATCCTAGTCTAAGGGTTTGCACCCTATTTAAGCATCTCATTCAGCCACCCTTCGTCCCTATTGCTTCCAGAAACCCCCCATAGCAAACCCTAACTGTGTGTGTGAAGATCTAAAGGCATTTGTGGTGATTTTTGGTGATTTTGATCACAAGGAAGAAGGAAGGGCCTAGAGGGATCAAGAGAAGACCAAGGGAGTTCAAGTTTGTGCATCATTTGCAGTTCCCAGAAGGTATAAAGTCGGTACCTTGCTTGTTCATTTGCTAGATCCCTTTTTGGGGAGATTTAGGGCTTTTATAAGCCATTCTTGGTGACCAACCAAGATTGCAAGCATGGTTGGGGGTTGAGGCTTCAGATCTAGGTCCATGAAGGAGTTACAAGGCAGAAAAGAGCCGCTTTTGCACCCATGGAAGTCCCCATGCAACTTAAGAGTCTCTTTTAGGGCCTTTTAGGCTCAAAGTCCCACGAATGCACGTAAAGTTCGTAACTTTACGTGTGATGCGACATCGACCTCCGACGATTCTTCTGGTCTTCTGCTGCGGCGAAGATCTAGATATCACAGTGCAAAGTCATTAGAGCCGCCCCAGGGACTGTGCCCCGGGAGCGGACTCCGACGGCCAAGTTAGATCAGCTAGAAGATCTGAGATGGTCCTCCATAGCTGGAGAGAACCATCTTGGTGCTAGTGGCTGACGGCGGCAGGTGGCGGCTGAGCCACTCGGCCGGAGTATAGTGACGGCTGAGCCATGGGGTCTAGTGGTGGCTGAGAGCCACTTGGGGAAGGGTCCTCCTTCATGGAGGAGGCACTATTCTATTTATAGTGGACAATTAGGTCAAGGGGAATTGGGTCAGGCCTTGGGCCAGCCCAATTCAGGCCCAACTAGCAAGGAGTTGGGCAAGGCCGACCGGAGGCGCCGGGCGGGGCTGGCGGGCGCGCACCAGGCAAGGCTGGCGGGCGCGCATCAGGAACGGGTGGTAGGGGAGCGCCATGCGAGGGAGCGTCTGGCCGGGCCGGCAGGTGAGTCCCCAGCAGGGCTGGCAAGGGAGTCCCCAGCAAGGCTGGCAAGAGAGCGTCAGGCAGGGCTGGCAGGAGCGCGCCAGGCCAGGCTGGCGCGCTAGAGCAGTCTAGGCCAGGCTAGTGGACCATATATCATCAAGTCCCCCCAGTCTGGTGGACCATATATCATCAAGTCCCCCCAATGGCATCGGACTGGAACTAGTCATATAAACTGTGCGTCGTCAAGTCCCCTTAGTCTGATGCGATTGGGTTGCTAACAATCGGATCGGACTAGATAAAGCACCAATACATTAAATAATAGAGAGAATGACCGAAACTTGCCCATGAAAGTCGTGGGCTTGCGCGATGAGCCAAACGTTGTTTATGCAGCTTGAGTTGACTTGATACTCCTTCATTGAGAGGAGTGTGAGCCAATCGGTGAGATGCAGCATAACTGTTGCTGCGCTCAGGCGGAGCGAGGCTGTTGATAATGTCAAGTGGAGCGGGGCTGTTTTGCGACGATGATGTCAATAGGGCGTCGGGTCAAGGTAGCTGAGAAGCGTAAGCTTGCCATACAGTCTCTAAGACCGTTGTCGAGCTCTGAAGTCTGTAAATAGATACAACGCACTTGGTCCATGATTCCCGCGTTCCAGTCATAGCTGAAAATTGTTAATAGAAATAGACGCTCTGAGCGTTGCACGCGCACCTCAGTGAGAGGGACAAGACCCGTAGCCAAGACCGGGTGGGGAGTTATATTTCTATGCCCGTTGGATGGGAACTTTGAGTGACTGGTCAGCGATGCACACTTCACAAGTCCCCTGTAAATGCTTTACAGACCGGGCTTTGCTACGCGAGTTTGTTGTTGGCGCACCCTGAGTGTGGTGACGCTGAAGCAACTATCTGAAAGGGCATCAAGATAAGATTTGTGAGTTAGTATATATTCTTGAAATAATAAATTGATTCACATTTCCTGTCATGATCGCTTCTCGGAATACTTCATAGAGTAGCCGTAGTGCACTACTCTTCTCCCCCCTTTTTTTCTTGAAAACATTGAGATAGTCGGACCACATCTTATAGAATTAGATTTAGCTTGACTAGATTGGAGCGCACGAGCTTTGATTTTTGTTTTTTTTTAAAGTTCCGAGTGGATTGGACCGTGCTGCATCTTCTAAAATTAAATTTTGCTGGAGCGTCAAGTGGTTAATTGGCTAATTTAATCTTGTAAAAAACCGATCCATTTTAATTGTTTTAGATAGCCTAATACCAATATGTGAGGAGTCCAAATCAAATGTCCTGGCCCAAGTATGCAATGTAACCCATTTGCAAATAAACAACCCATATTGTAATCCCTTCCTTTTTTTGTATGTGTGTGAACTTGCATCCGGGTATCAAGTGTGTATGGGCCCACTTGCTTTAATCGAGTTTGACTTTTGGACGGAAGTCTTGCAGCCGCCCCCTCTAATCTTCACGATTGATGAATCTAATCATCACAATTGGCGAAGGAGATGCCCAAAAGGTGAGGAAGAACAGCTGTGGCCGGCGATAGGAGATCCTTCGGTTCTCGGGGGAGGAGTCATGGTGGCTGTTCGTCAGCGGAAATCGGACGTGGGGGAATCTGTGGAGGAGCGAGATCTCCATCTGCAGAGATCGAAATCTGGCTCGTCGGCGGATTTTATCTCTTGCGCTACCTGCTGGATGCGTAACAAGTGGTATTGACGGTTGGTCCTGATGGGGCAGCTAGCGGCGACCGGCAGTACTGTGTGTCTCGCCGCCGACATTAAACCGAGAAGTTGGGGATGCTTCGCCAATCGCCGGCTGGAGGAGATCGGCTGGTGACGGGGCATCAGGTGGAGACCGTTGGCGACGATTGCTGTCGGGGGACGTAGTCAACCGGCGGCTGGAGCGTTCTTCCGGCGAGAGGTAGGGTTAAGCGGTGATTTTGGTTTTAGCCCATGGCTGTGAATCGAGAAACAAGGGCCGGTGATGGATTTGGTTGGCATCAAGATGAGAATACAGGCGGTTGGTTGAGATTGGAGGTTGGAGGTTGTCGTCGATGGTCTTGGGTTGCCGGCGGCGGAATAGGCTTTGGAGAAAACACTCGCCAGTTGAAGATGGTCAGGAAGTACGGCGGGTAGAGATTAACGAGGTAGGGCCACACACAATGTTTTTTGTCTTCTCTAAACTACATATCACATTTTTTCCTGTGATACCGTATGGAGATGGGTCCTATCTTCTTTCTATTTTGTATCGTTGTCGGGTGAAAACAAACATACACTAGAGGCCATTATTGTAATTTTCATATCAAATTTGTAGGCTTATGAGCTGTAAACTGTAATGTCTTTTTGTACCAGGCATGTGTATTTTGTGTGTACCCTATGCTATAGGGTGCCGGCTATCTCCCTTTTTTCTTTCTTTCGAATAATACAGCTGGTAATTTGCTGGACCACATACAACACCTTGTCCACTGTGCACATAGGATTACCCCCCCATTTTTTGTACATTTCCTTTTTACATATCATTTTCTACAGAACTCTCTTTTTATCTTCATCTTTCCTCTTTTTTTTTGAAAACCATTTACTGAAATGGTAATTAAAATGTAGGGATAACTTTGAAGTGGGTTAAAAATAAATAAATAGTGGATATGTGTAATTTTGAGGTAAAAATGGCAAAATATAATCTGATGGGTTTTGGTAGGAAGGGATAAACGTTTTTGTGGATTTTGTGAAATGTACAATGTACACAGCTATGTGTACAAGCAAATAATTGCAGAGATTTGCATAAAAAATTGTAAGCTCAAAGGATTTTTTTATAATAATGTACAAGAAATATAGCTATGCTTACAAGCATCTCTTTCATGAAATGGAGTTATGTATAGAAAAACCCAACTAAAAAAAGGATTTTCTGATTTTATGAACTAAAAGTATGAGGAAAAACTCATAAAACTTCTTTTTTTCTCTTCTCTAAGCTTTTAAATAACTTGAATATACAAAAAATCATAAACTACATGAGATTTTCTAGAAATATATGAAATAAGCTGGGGTAAGAACCCATAAAAAAACCTTTTTTCTTCTGAAATTGTTCAACAAACCCCCAAAATAAAAAACAAAAACGGATCTAAGAAGGTTTTTGCAAGCTTGGGGAGTATTTGGGTGAATAAAATCATATAGATCCATAGATCTGAACTAAAGACGAAATGGATCAACAGATCCAAAGATTAGTGAAGCAAACTCGGATAGATCTTGGAAAAAACCAAGAAGATCTGAACAAATGATGGGGTAGAACTCATAGAGAACTTCTTTTCTTTTCAACTTACTGAAAAAACCCCAAAAATATAAACAAAAAAAGGGTCTAACAAGGTTTTTTTTCTCACTAAACCTTCTCCACTCTTCAGCTTGCTCAACAGATCTGAAAATCTTTTGTTTTCCATCTCTAAGCTTCTAGAGGAAGCACCCAATAAACAACTTGAATGAAGTTGTACATGAGAAATTAGGAACCAAAACCGATTTTCTTGAAAATGAGCAAGCAAAAGGATAAAGACTTGTAAAATATTGTTTGTTCTTCAACTTGCTGAATAAAATTCGAAAATATGAACAAAGATGGGGAAAAACTCATAGAAATCTCTTTTCTCCCCAACTTTCTGAATAATCCAACAAAGATGGATCTGATAAAATCTTTTAACTTAAGAATCGCTCAAATAAACTAAAACAAGGCATATTTAGATATCTGAGCAAAAACAAGGTAAATCTAACGATCTGAGGAAAAAACTCAACAGATCTGAAAGATCTTGGCGAAACCAAATCGATCTGAACAGATCTTGGTAGAAACCAAATGGATCTGAACCAAATGGTGGGTAGAAATGAACAGATCTGAACAAATCTTAGATGAAAACACATCAGGTCTGAACAAATCTGGTCAAAATCGAGCTGTAGGCCAACTGAGGCTTTTGCTACTTGCTCAAATCTGGGATGGTGACAAATGATGCGACATCGACCTCCGGCGAGTCTTCTGGTCTTCTTGTTGGATAAGGTGTCTAAGTCCATAACTTATTTGGTATATACTTGACCTGACCCGGCATGGTCCATTTGGGTTGCACTTCACCCGAACTATTTATATGGATAACATTATGAGAAGAGTATATTTGCGGCTTATTAATATATTATAAGTTATAATATATTAATATGAAATTGTATTATTTAATTAGTATTCGTCTTAAATTAATTATGAATTAATTTAGTGATCAAATGGTGACTAATTAAACATGGGCTATTATATTTATATAGTGTGGGCTAACACTCATTATGGTAATGGGCTAAGCTTATATGGGAGTCCATGGATGATCCATGGAGCTCTTAACCCATGGATCCTTGGAAAGGAAAAGACATGGGTTATTAGGGTTTACCTTAATCATGTGCACTATATAAACAAGCTTGTGATGCATGAAATGACACCCTAGTGTGTGTGAAGAAAGGTGGCCGATTTCTAGAGCATAGATATACTCTCTCATAAGTTTTCCAAGTTTGTGGTGATTTGTGATTTCCATTTGAGGCATTCACATTATTGGTGCTTGGCTCTCAAACTCCTAAGGAATCAATTCACAAACAAAGGTATGTAATTCATCTAGTTCTTTTATGTTTAAAAGTTCCCCATGCCATGCTAGATAAGTTATAAACCTTGGAAAACAAATTTTGCATGTATTTTAGACAAACATAGATCCAAGGTTTATTAGGGTTGCATGTACACTTAGGAAGTGTTAGAATGCTCAAAACCCAATAGTGGTATCAGAGACTAGGCTTGTTTGTTGATACTTGATGCAAAATTGTGTTAAAAATCGAAATTGTTTGCTGTCTGAACAGTGGACTCGCCGAGTCCATGGGAGGACTCGACGAGTCCAAGTGAAAATTCATCCTACTTGTCGATTAGGTTCGTGCACTCGACGAGTAGAATGAACTGACAGCAGATTTTCGACTTTTGTTGCTGGAAATGGACTAGAAACATTACCCTAAACTGTTTTGGTGTTTTAAAACCTGTTTTAGATGGTGTAATGTTTATGCTAATCCATTTACAATGGCTTATATCAAAATTCCATGATTTTATGTGCTCATATAATTCTTGAAATCTTGATGATCATGTTCATGTTCTGATGAGTTTAGAAAAATGATAGGAATTATTTGTTGAATTGTTTATCATTAATTCTTGATCATTTATGTGTTTTAATGGAGTCCATAATTTGTCCTCAAGTTATGGATATCCAAAGGTCACTTTCTTTTAAACACATATTTAAACACATAAGTTACATAAAAGTGAAGAGTCTTCATTTTTATGAACCATTAACTCATAAGTTATGAAATGAAAAGTTTTGAAAAGTTTCAAAACTTGCCCTCAAGTTTTGGAATTTGTAAAGTTACACACACTTTAATATACTTTAATTCCAACCCTTAGAGTTTTAAAAGTTAAAATTCAACCCTTATAATATTTATAACATTAATGGTTAATTATTATATATACGTATAAGATCAAGTCGTTTTACCGTTAGTAGGCCTCATTCACGAAGCCGGTCTATAAGGGGGGTATAAGGTTGTTGCCTATAAAATGGCAACTTAATGGGTGTCCATTCTCACCCACCGCTTCCTTGATCGGTGGAGGGTCGTCAGCCGAACGGGTAGGACAATGACTTTAAATTCTCATTAAAAGTATAATGAATATTATAAAGTAACTAAACCTTTTATAAATTCCCATCTTAGTTACTTTAGGAAAATGTGAATATGGTGCTAACCCATGAAATTCACACTTTGTACCTTACCAAGTCGTTGGTGGAGCGTGTGTGGTTAACCGACACACTAACTTGGACTTGTGAGAAATGGAAAACAGGTCTAAACATTATGATTACGACATCCCTCTTCATAATTGTTTAGACACACATGTGAGCTATCTAAAGAAAGATGTATGAGTCTGAGAAGCTTAGATAAAGTTTTTTCGAAGCATCTCGTATCAGAAGTCTGAACTTTGGTGATGAAAGTCAATAAAGTATTGATTTCTAGAAGTCGATTTCTGAGTACATGTCAAAGCTAGTGGGAGCATAATTGTTGTGCTAAATAATTATTATGCTAGTGGGAGCATAATCAATTATGACGAGTATTGTTAATTATAGAAAACAAGAATTTCACTTGGAAAAGGTTGTTTTGCTATAATTAAGGGAGAGAAGATTATACTTCATTTCAATCCTAAAAGTTTAGATTGAGATTTCAATCATCTTTAGTCAAGGAAGGTTGTTGCCTATAAAATGGCAACGTAATGGGTGTCCATTCTCACCCACCGCTTCCTTCATCGGTGGAGGGTCGTTAGCCGAACAGGTAGGACAATGACTTTAAATTCTCATTAAAAGTATAATGAATATTATAAAGTAACTAAACCTTTTATAAACTCCCAATCTTAGTTACTTTAGGAAAATGTGAATATGGTGCTAACCCATGAAATTCACACTTTGTACCTTACCAAGTTGTTGGTGGAGCGTGTGTGGTTAACCGGCACACTAACTTGGACTAGTAAGGATCACGAAGGGTGACTTAATGTTTATCATAGATCGGTGGAGCGTGTGTGGTTAACCGGCACATCGATTAGGTGATAATATTAAGGGTACCAAGTGAGTTTGCATGGTTATTCACACCTTGTTTTGTGATCCTCGGCATCCCAGTTACAAAACCTGAAGGGCACAATCG